TCGCCAGCCGCCGCAGCCGCCGAATGTCCTCATCGGCCAGGGCGTACTTCCGGCATGACCGTCGCGAATCCCAAGCGCCCTCTGGCCATCCGAAGGGACACACTGTCTGCTCGAAAGCTCCACTCAAGGACATGCCCAAGTATTCACCTATTTCCATCTTTGCCAGCATGGGCCGCACGCCAGCCGGGCCCCGGGTTCCAGGTCCCGACTCGACATCGGCGCCAGCGACCGCAAGTCCGTCCCGGAGCCCGACCTGCGCGCCTGGGAATTGGCGCATGGCAGCCGAGGATCCGTCGCCAGGTTGTCCAGAGACCCATCGGCCGGGGTCCGGTGCGCCGGCGAAGTGGCCGGCAAGAAGCGCCGCATGTACCGTGGCCAGCCTCAACCTCCCGGGATCCTTCGACAGCGGGGCCAGCTGCGTCACCCCGGCCGACTGGGGGACAGCGCGCCACCCCCGGGCCATGGTGCCTGATGCGCCAGCGAAGTCCACCGGCCGGTATCGCCAACTGCCTGCCGATGTCCCGGAGACTGTGCCGGCGTTCTTGCAACGGCCCTCGCACGTGGGCCGCCCTCTCTGCCGGCCACGCCCCCCGCAGATGGATCATGTACTCCGGGCATTGGACCGGGCCGTGCCGGATGAGCAGGTCACAAGACACGCCGGTCAATGTGCGGATCATCGCCACCAGGGGCACCGGCACCATCTGCACCCCCTGCCACCGATGCAGCTCGCAGTGCCTCCATCCTTGCGACCCACGGCTCGGGCAGCAGCGCGTCCTTGACCCCCGGGGGAGGGGCCCCGGGGCCGGCCTTCGCCAGGATCGGCACGTTGCTCGAAGGCAGCATGGCCATGGTCACTCTTGACAGGGGAGGATCCACGGTCAGCAGGTGCCCCAGCCGGCCGATGCACATGCCCCGTTCCCGCGCTGGCTTGGCCAGGATCTCCGGCAGTGCTTCCCCCTTGCCTCGCCGGCAGGCGCACCAGCCGCGCCAGCACCGGCGGACCCCGCCGGGCCCGGTCCATCAGATCCTCGAAGCCCGCATGCCCCGGGCCCGGCCCCGTCACCAGGGGCGCATGCCGCGATCGCCGGGCCGGCGCAATGCCAACCTCCCGGCCACGATGCGTCAGCGGACTTTGCCCCGATGCCCGGCCCAGCCCCAGCAGCCGACCAGCAAGCCCGAGCTCCACCAGGGGGCCACTTGCCCGAGGGGGCCCGGCAAGCCGCCGGAACAGCCGGAAGTCCGCCACATCGTCGGATCCCTGCGGCAGGGGCTCCTCCCCGGCCTCGATGGCCCGGCAGAGCCGCGCCCCGGCACACTCGGCATCGTAAAGCTCATGTGCCGCCCCGGCCGCCGCGACAACCCCAGCCACCTCCGGTGATCGTGCCGCTGGCGAGCGAGGCGAACTCCCGCACATGCGGCAGCGTCATCCCCATGGGCATTGGAACCTCGGCCGCAATCACATGCATGTGCTTTGTCATCGGGGCCGCCGGGCTCCGGAAGGGGGGGGCCGGCGTGTCGGGCCCAAGGAGAGGACAGCCTCGCCGGGCCGCCACCGCGCCCATGCCAGCGAGCCCCACACACGCCGGGCTCGCCTGCTCACCCCCGACGCCAGCATCACTGGTGGAAGGGGCCAAGGAAAAGAATGGGCGCGAGAGGGAGAGAGGCAGGAGGGGGAACTAAGGACACCAAGATGGAGAGCGCTCAGCTGGCCGGACGTTCGGATCGGAAGGGCGCTCTTGCTTGGCCGCGGCCGCCGCCAGGGGGGGGGGGGGGGACCCCGCCCAACCTCGGCCACCACTCGCGCGCGCCCCTCCGGCCGGAGGGGGACGGCCAGATAGCGCCATCTGTCGGGCTCGGCCCTGGCTGGTGCGGGGGGGGGGGCACCTCGCGCGGCCAACAAACACACTTGCCACCCGGGTCAGGGCCGCCCATGGTGGAGTCCTGCGGGCGGTGCTTCCCCATGATAACCCGCATCTCCACGGCGCAGGGGTGCCGATCCATTGCCCCCCCGTTCGTGGCCAGCCATGTGGCACACGCACACAATCGCCAGCGCTCGGCCAATGTCGCGGCCCGGGATGCGTTCGGCCGGGCAGGCCTCGCCCCCTGAGCCCGATGCCTCTGCCTTGTTGCCCATCGCATCCCCCCCTTTGTGGACATGGACACATCGCTGCTTGCGCACGCGCTGCCCGGTCCTGCGGCGGGAGCCCCTCACTGCATTTCGGCCAGGAAAGACACCCGCCACGACAGACCGCGAGACTTCCCAACCGGCCGGACATTCGACGAGGGGGGGGGGGGGGGGGCTCACTCCCTGTGGGAGCCCCTCCCCCGGGAGCGAGGGCCTTGGCGGCTGCCCGTCGAAGGGCGCACGAGGCCGGGCGCCAGCAGCACCAGCCCACTGGGGCAGCCATTTGCCCGAGGCCGCCTCTCGGTCCCCTTTCCGACATCCGCAGCTCGGTCCCTTTCGCTTGCCGCCAAATGGGCCTCCCCCCAGCCGAGCGGCCGGCGACCGTGAGCCGCCCTGGCCGGTATGCCCCCGCCCCCCGCCTTCCATGCCCGGAGGTCACACTGACCACAGGCGGCCAGCCTCACGGGCAGCCCTGTGTCGAGCCTCACTCGCTGGCCCGGGGATGGGCCGGTGGCGGCCCTGCCACGATGGATGGCGGCCCGGGTGCTGCCCGAGCGCATGGGCCCCCCCGATGATTGGACGCCCATGGCAGCCCTTGCCCACGACGCACTGTCCCGCTCCTGCCCGACAGCGAACGCACGCGGCTTGGGGGCGAGTGGGAGTCGCGACAACGGGGCGCCCCCTCCCCCGCCGGTGCCGCGCGTTGCGTTGCCTTTTTCCCCCGGCGCGGCAGCGCAGTCCGACGGTGCGGGCTTTCTCCCGGGGCCCTCCGGCCGGCCCTTACATGCGGGCCGCATGCCCCCCCCCCCCCCCCCCCGCTTCCCCCTGTTCTGTCCAGGGGGCGGCCCGGCCCACTGGCAGCCAGTGCGTGCGCGCCCGCGCGTGCCCAACATGACCCATGGCCGCCTGCGGCATGTGCGAAGACCGGGCAACGCGCCCGAAAGCCGCCGCAACCCCCCCCCCCTGGCTTCCTTTCCTTCCTTGCTCGTCGTTCCACCGGCACACATGGCCTTGCCCCTGCTCCCAGTCGTGGAGGGTGCTCCTGTCGCCGCATACCCGGGGTCCCTCACAGGACCCGGGCCGCGGCCGACGTGGCCCCGATGCTCATGCGGGGAGGGGCGCCCGCTTGGCAGGGGGCCCTCGCGCGCGTGCTCGCCCGCATTTCGCCGGACCAAGGAGCCGCCGCGGGGCACGCCGCGCAGCAGGGCAGGCCGGCCGGCTGCGCCCGAGCCGGTCAGGCTCATGCTGCCCCCGCGCCGCCGCGCGCCGACCCCCAGGCACATGCACAGGCAGGCCGAGCGAGCGAGTCGGCGATCCAACGAGGGGGCCCAGGCGACAAACAGGTCCCCGGCTGTCGCAGGCGAATCCGCCCCCCCCCCCCAGTAAGCCGAGGGAGACGCACTGGGAGATCCGGCCATGTCCACGAATGACCTCCTGCTCCCCGCGTCGCGGGGGGCGGGGGGGGGGAGCAAATGCCGAGCATGGGCTGGCCGCGAGCCGGCAGCCGGCGCACCGCAGCCGGCGCCTGTCCAGCGCTTCGCCCTGGGCCGGGGCCCGGTCGCTGCCCGGTCCCGCCACCCGGGCCAGCTCGGCCGGCATGCGGCGGGGTCCACGCGCACATGCAGGCTCGCGCACAGCAGACCGAGGAGGAATGGCTCGGGGCAGTCGGGCAATGGGCCAGGCAGGAGGAGGCCGCCATGCATGGCCGCGCCGGGTCCATCGGTCCCACACCCTGGGAAAGACATACGCACACCCACGACCGGCGAGAGGGAGGGAAAAAAGCCCGGAGGAGCCACGCGAAGAGCGCACCCCGGCGGTGCCCAACATGGGCCGCCGCGGGGCAAAGCAGCCAGCAATGCGCCGGCCATGGCGCTCCCTTGGTCAGGGGAGAGCCAGCCATTTCCCCCCCCCCCCCCCCCCCCCCCACCCAGACCCATGTGCCGAGGCTGATGGCTGCCATGTCCTCCACCTCCTGGCCCATTGGATGGTCGGCAGGGGGACGGCGAGCGGAGGGTGTGTCTGGCCTCCTCCCGCTCGGGCAGACGCTGCCTGGCCGCGCTCCAGCCACCAGGCCGAGGCAGGGCGTCTCGCGGGCATCCCCGCGTCGCGCCCTTCGCAGCACATGGTGCGGCCGGTTCCCGGGCCCCTCCGCCCCCATATCGCCCTTGGGCCCTCTCCCGCCCTCTTGTGCGTGTGTGCGTGGGTTATTGTGTTCCGACGCCCCGGTTCCCAGGTCACCGGAGGCCCCGCCCCTCCCCCGGCCCTCGATTCGAAACGCCACCCGCCCCGCAGGTCGGTCGTGAGCACGACAAAAGGCAGCCCGCCTCGAGTGACTCGTGGCTCCATGACACACGGTGTGTCCTTTCGGCACTGGGGGCCTTCTACGAGGGCCACCCGGCCCCCGGGTCAAGGTCCGCCCGGCCGCCGAGAGCGCGCCTCGGACGGCGGCGACCCGAGGACCCAAGCATGCGAACACCGGGCGACCGATGGCCCGTGCCCACGGTCGGAGTCCATTCCATCCGAGGCGGTGCCTCCTCGCCGAAGGCCCATGCAGCCTGTCCCCTTGCCCCCCCCCCCCCGCCCCCTTCCCCCCGCAAGGTGACCGTGGGCGTGGACATCGCCGGGTGGGGATCTTGGCGCGAGCCAGCAGCGAATGGCCTTGGGTCTCGCGCCCTTTTCGCCCCACTGCCCGGGTCCACTGGCCCTTGCCCGGTGGCTTCTCGGTCGGCTGTCCGCCTTGAGCGGGGCTCGGGTCGCGCTCCGGCCGCCCCGGCCGCCCCGCCCCATGCATTGGATGCCCAGAGCCCCGGCACCCGTGGCGCACCTCCGGTCACGGTCCCCCCTCCCCCGCAGGACGTCCACCCTCCCGACCGGGCCCGCCGGCGGTACGTGCCCCGGGGCAAGCCCCTGCGCGCGGCAGGCCGGGGCCCCGGGGGCCTGCCACGCCTACAAGGTTGGAAGTCGACCATGCCGCGTGCCGCGGCCCAGCGGCCCCGGCCAGCCCCCCCTCGGTGGGGGACGCTCCCTGGGCGTGTGGGGGCCGGCGGCGGGGCCGAGCCCCGTGACACCAAAGCCACCTCGCAGCTCGCGGGCAAGCTCCGGGGCCGCGAGCTGGCACCCGGTCGCGGGGGCTTTGATTCGCCGCCCCGGCCCGTCCCTCGAGGCGGCCCCATCGGGCCGACGAATGTCCCCCCCCCCCCCCCCCTCCAGCCCGGGGAGACTGCTCGCCGCCCTGGAGCAGTGCACTCGGCCCTTTCGGCCTTCGGTGGCCCCTCTGCCCGAGCCACGGCGGTGTCCCGCAGGGCCACGCCCACGCTCTTTCCCCCAGCCCCATCGGACGGCATGTGCGTGCGTCTGTCCGTGCGTGCGCCCCATGGCCGTGCATTTTTGCTCGCCCCACCCTGTGGCCGCCTCGGCCGGGTCAAGGCGCCCGGCCTTCCATCTTCACGCATAACCAGGACACCTCGCCGGCTCCACCTCCCCGCCCGAGGCCCTCGCCGCACGGACTGGGCCACCTCTTCGCCGGGCCGCCGCCCCCGCAGCCGCCTCGCCATCACGCCATGCTCCCCACAAGATGCAGCCCACCTGGCCGGAGCCGGCAAGGCGCACATGCTTGCAAGGCCCCCTCCGGCGCATGTGGCAGCCCCCTTGCCGCCTCCCGTCGAGACGCCACCAAGGGAGGTCTCCCCCCAGTGTCCCGGTGGCCCTGCACCGCCCGCCGGCCGTCGTCCAAAGAAGAATACCCCGACCTGGCGCCCGATGACACATGCTGCGGCCCGGCTCGAGCCGGCCCCCGGCCCTTCTCGGGTGGTGTCCTCCGGGTGCATGCGGCCGCCCCTGGCGCCGGGCACCCCCTTCGACACAGGGGCCCCCGAGAGCGCCCTCGGGTGTGGGCGTCCCGAGGGCGCGTGCCCGGGCCGAGGCCCCTCGGCAGGGGAACAAAAACACCCGGCCCTCCTTTGGCCCTCACGCCTCCCATATAGTCTAGGTGGTTAGGATACGTGGCTCTCACCCACGAGACCCGGGTTCGAGTCCCGGTATGGGAAATTCCTTTTGGACGCCCGGCCGGCGGGCCGCGCCTCTTCCCGGCTCCAAAAACACCGCCATTTAAAGCCCCGGCGCGCGGGCACCGCCGTCCGCCGGTTGAGTGGTGTAATGGTTATCACGGCAGACTCTGAATCTGTCAATCCGAGTTCGATTCTCGGCTCGACCTCTCTGCTTTTTTTTGGACGCGCGCCCGGGCCGGGCGCATGCACCGGGGCCCGCCGGCCCCGCAAGCCGGGCCTCCCCTCCCCCCATGCTTGCCTGGCTCCTGCTCGGGCTGGCCCCCCGACCGCCGGACCAAAGACGCCAGCCGCCGGCCGGCAGCCGCGTGAGGGGGGCTCCTCGCCCCCATATGGGCAGCCGCGCCCCCGCATGGGAATACCCATCGAGCCGCACAACCGCGCCCACTTGGAACCCGGCCCCCGGGCGTCCGCCCGCCACCCGGGCTGCTGTCTGCCTGGCACTACACCGCCGGCGCCTGGGCTTCGTGCGCCGCGGGGCGGGGCGCCCGCCGTCTGCTCAACTGGCCGCGGCTGTGGCGCCGCCGGCCGCGACCGCATCGCGGCTCGCCCCCACACATGCAACCCCGCCTCGCGGGCGCCCGGAAGCCCCGGACCCGGCGCGCCCGGCCCCTCCGCCGCGCGGTGCCCATCTTGCGGCCGTCCGCCCGCCCGAGAGCCGGCACGCCTCCCGCCCTGGCCGTGGCGCTGCCCTGGCACGGGGGCACGCAGCCCGCAAGCCGGGCACCGTTGCCGGCCCCTGACGCACACAGGACGCCTCCCCGCCTGCCATCGCCCATTCCAGGGGCCCATCCTTCGTCCATGCCTCCTCCCCCGCCCCTTGGCCAGGACCTCGACACTGTGTGGCCCCCCCCC